GAACTGAAAACTTTCCATGCAAGGTTGGAATATTTCTTTCTACAATTTCAATTTCTCTTGCCGCATCTACGACAAGTGAATGCAATTTTTAATTTATACACATTATTCCGAGCTGCCATGAGAGAACGCAATTTACTTATCCCCCTTTTCACATTTCGTTTTGACGAGATTTCTATCTTTTTCGCAACAATGCGCAATCAAAGTAAAAAAAAAAAAAAAAATGAAAATTTCTATCTTTTTCGCAACAATAATGCGCAATCAAAGTAAAAAAAAAAAAAATGAAAACTTTTTCTAGATGCAAACAAATGAGAAAAAATTAATTACGCGTTTTGATACATACATATTTTTTTAAAATAATACTTAGAAATAGATGATAAATTGGAAGAATGAAAGAATCGATAGTGTGCAATTTATTAAGCGATATTTAAATTTCACGCTAGGAATGCCTAGTCATATTGTAAATTTGAAGAATAAGAAGACAATATATATCATCGCAAGATAAAAGGAAAATTTTAAATAATAAAAATACCAGCGATATTAATATTTCGTGATTGTTTAAAATTGTTATTTTACCGACTGTCTTCTATATCAAAATTCCTACTGTTTATACTTTTTTTAAGACAGCAAAATTAATTTCTCGTATTTAGTTTTGCGCAAATCTAGAGTTAACGCAAATTGCACAATTAATGTGAAACGTAATCATCAGATGCATCGATAAAAGCAAACGAGCGTATTTCGATATTCTCGTCGACATTCGGAGAATCGTCAGAAGGAAAGAGGGGGAGGGGATTTATTATATATAAGCAGTGATTAATATAATTTGGTTATTTGGCACACACGCGTTATACCGCTCGCAATTTACGTTAGCTTGGCACAAAATTGAGCCGCTCGAAGCGCGATAAGTTTTCACAATCGATTTTTATTTTGACACCTGAACCGCATTAAATGATCGATGATGACCTTTCCGGCCTCAAGGTCGACAGTTTTTCTCCTTATTACGTTGACTATCTACGCGCGCTCGATTTTTAGTTTCGCCCTGATTTACGCGAGAAAGAAGGGTGGAGGGGAAGAAGGGAAGCGCGATATCAGGGTCGCGATTGGACGACAGACCGTTGTTCAAGATCGAGGAAACGATCAGTTTTCGCACATGAAAGTTATCCAATTACACTCCGATTACTCTATTACAAATGGCAATAACACATTCTAATTTTATCGTTAAACAGCAAACAACAATCAAGCTTGTTTAAAAGTCCGTAAAAATTTTGAGATCGTTTGCACGTTCCTCAGCAATTATCATCGGAATAAAATATCGTTCTACGGATATATACGTATATAATTCTTTTGCATTTCTCATTCTATGCCAATTGTTACATCGGCATAGTTGTTTGTCTCTCTCCCGTTGTATACTACATTAACATATACACAGTGTGATAACGATGCGATTTCGAAGAAGCTGCAGTAGCTCATCAGAGTAATCCTTCTGTCTGTCGTCCGACTCGCCCTCTGGTCACGCGACGAACAATTTCGTCCGGTCGCGCGAAATTTTTCCTTTTGCGGGGGAAGAGAGGCCTCTCTCTTCGGCCCTTTAATTATCCACGCCCCGCCGGGGTGGGACGCGAGATTCAATATCCTATAAAAACTAAGTTTATTTCTTAGCTGATTGCCTTGCGTTACGGTAAAAGTTAGGTCCCTAGCCGGAATTGCCGCGGACGCTGCAGACGGAGATCGAGCGGAGATCTCCGCTTCCCCGGAGATTGGAGAGAGACTCGCGTCGCGTTCCATCTCGATGACTCTTGTAACTTTCTCGTCGTTTTCGTAGAGCCGTCTTCCTCCGAAGGTCGAGGTATACAATGCGCGCAGTTTGAAAAAAAAAAAAAAAGAAAAGAAATTTAAGAGCAGATACATTCCATTCCGTTTGTACTTGTATCCGACTCGCCGTGTAATCTGATTTATTATAATCTCGGCTCGACATACGAGATAAACGGCTCCGTTCGCGATTCGCGACAATCCTCGGTAGGAGGACCCACGCGATAAGGATAAGGCCCCTGCACTAACAGATTGCTCTACGCCACAACGATATGATCGCAATTGATGCTGACGTTCGCCCGCTTTGCTTTTTTTCCCTTGCTCTTCTTTAATACGCGCGCGTGTCTAATACAAGCGAACGCACCGCTCTCTTAGCGATCGCCTTTCGTATTTTAATTAGGGGAAAGGGAAATGTACGTACTCTCGAAACTTTTCAACGATCGCGTTATTTCATCTGTTTTTCTTTCTCTTTCGCCAACGCGAGCGAGAATAACCGCGTCTTCGTTGAAGTATAATTGGTCAGCGTCAGTTGCTCCAAAGTTAGGTCTAACTGTACAGCGTTTAAACACGCAAACGTTCTTCTTAGATACAACTTGACTTTACAGCCAACAGCGTAGATTAGCTCTGACTAGCTAACGTCTCTTGGATGTTCCTCGTTTTCCATCCGGAACACGCCCCTATCTATACACAATATAGAAAGCGGATTATCGTTAACTGCTTATTACGTGCTAACTACTTGTTGGTGCGACAGATCTTGAGGGATATAATCTATAAACGTATCTCCCTAATCCTCGTAGATCTCCTTCTTAGATTACACGCTCCTGCGTGAACACTTGCGTTCTTTCCTTCTTCTCGGTATAGTTTTTTTTTTATTTTTTTCAAAACACGACTTACGACATACGTGATTAGACGATATCTTAACGGTCACTAGAAGCTACAGAGAATCCGAGATAAGATCCAAGTGCCCGAGATATACAATCAATCGATTTCCGATCGAATGCCGGATAAATATAGGCTAGCTTATCGGAGCAAAAAAAAAGAGAGATATCAATTATTCTAGAGTCATATGTGTCATTGGATATGCTTCTGGAATATGTCGATGCGACATCCTTAGATAAGTGGCAGATAAACTGCGTTGGCTTTTCTCGAAAACAACAGAATTGCCTCGATTCTGATCGCCTATCGTACATTCCTTCTTACATTCCTTTCCATTCTTTAGCGTCCCGCTGCTCTATCAATCGCTTAATTATCAAACTCCGTAAAAGTTTGTCACAGGGGATTGTAAAACTTGTCATAATTCGAACTTCTAATACCGCTGTATATATTGAGCGGAATTAAATCTTTGCAAAAATAAGGCGAAGCGAATCCTACCTTGCTCTATAGAGTATCGAAATAATTTAAAATTTCACTTTGACTAATTTCAAATTAGTCCTACGACATCCTGTCACTTATTCTTTAACTCCCAAGCGATTTTCCATTAATTAAGCATCTCTGAGTATTATTCAATTATCACGTATAATCGAGCTTAGCGAGCCAGTTTGAAAAGTAAATGGGATTTTCAATTAAAGAGGCAATAATTCTCTTTTCTAATCAGCGGGAAATAACTATTCTCTCTTGCAGTTGTAATTTTTCGAAACAGTTCTCAGTTCCACAGAATTCCCAAAGTATTGGAGAATTTTCATCTTTCAATCCCATTTACTTGTCATTAATGTAACTCGCGATGATTTTATTATTTAAATATTATTAAAATTAACAAAGAAAAAAAAAAAAAAAATAATCACGTCCGTATTCAAAACAGTTTGTTAATTTCTTTCACCGTATCGTACAATTTTTACATGTTTTCCTTACGAAAGGAGAATATTACTAATTACTTATTGCTCTCGACTTATTTAACTCTTACGCTTTTAAATCATTAAAATCATTCCCTAAATAAATAAATAAATAAATAAATTTTCCAATGTATACAAAAATGCAAGTACAATTCAAAAACTATCTTTAAATTATTCCAACGCGTTTTGGATACGAACGTTCTAGAATTTCGCATCACGCACAGGTGGACTTTTCAAACGAATAAATTTAGAACCCTCCACGAAATTATCTTTCAGGAAAAAATACTGACATCATTGAACGAAACAAGAGACCGGTAATAAAAAAATTATTAAATTAATGCTTCTTCATCTTATTTCTCCGAACTGTACGTTCTTTAAGTATATGTATATGCAAGGGTCGTGCCGATTCGATAGTAATATATAAATTCCGAAATTATTATTCAAGAAAGGAAAAAGAAGCATATATCGCGTTGTTTTAAAAATACATTTAAAGCCTGCAGAGAATTAAGCATGTAGCTTTTTAAGTGACGTATGGCTCTTCCCCCTCGACGCATTTGAAAAGGTCGCCGAGCATGAAAGTTTCTTATCTGCACGATTTAAAACGACATACGATATTTTCGCACGATTCTGCGAACCCTTTCAATACCCGTGTAATGTTCGCTGACATTAAAAAAAAAAAAAAATAATAATTTAGTTATATACACGTATTAAAATATCGAGATCCTTGCAAGAAGTTTGATAACTAAAATCGAATAAAACAAGAATAGATTAAACTTTCGCTCCTCAAATTCGGTATTGAAAGGATTCATCTAAAGACACAGTTCGAGTGGGAAGATCATGATTTACCCTTACGTACATAAATGCGCGCAGCAATTCTCTCTTCCGCTTTTCCCGATTTAAATATAATATCAGACCGATCTCCTCTGTTTTTCTAAAATCTCGGCACTTCTGTAGCGATCGAATTCGAATAACGTAACGCCGGTTCGGGAGAATTATACGCACGCGCGCACATATATACATACGTACATACATATTTCAGTTGTCTAATGAAAGGTGGGTCCTGAATCTTCCCGATTTTTGTCCCGTCTCTCCTCTCTCTTCATCTCGCGTTCGCAAACATTCGTAGAATACATCCACATGCGCTCTTTCTTCCTTTTCCTATCTTCTATCATATATTTTTCAATAATATATAAGTACTCCTTCTCTTTCTCTCTCTCTCTTTCTCTCCGCGAAGTGCCTTAAAAATTGATCCTTAACTACTTACTAATAATCGATTCTAATCACAGCAATTATTTATTGTTGATATACACAATCATACAGCGTCTCTCACTAATTGTTATTTTCATCATTTTTTTTTTCATCGACTTTTTTTTTTAGTCAGAGACAACTTGTCGTTCGAACGATACCGTTGCTCGTGTCGTATATTTTTTTTGCCTTTTTTTCCCTTAGTATAATTACTATGATACGCCGTCATCGTCTACCTATACCGGTGGAGAATAAGGATGCAAGGGTGTTAACGAGGGTGAAGAGGAGGAGATGAGGGTGAGAGGAGTGCCTTGTCGTCACGATGAGAAAAGAGAGAAATACTTCCGTTTCTTTTTTTCGAAATATATAATAACAAACAATTTTCCACACACAATGGCAATATGTGTATATATGTATAAATAATTATAAATAACACAGAGTTAAATCTCTTGAGCCTAATTTAAATGGGTCACCAACAGACTCTCGCGATGTGATCAATCGATGTGCTAAGAAACTCGACGCATTGATCCAAAAATAAACACAATTGGATCCATAGAGAATAATTTCTTTCCTCTTTTCATGGAACAAACAAACGCAGACATGTAAAATGTGGTAGGAGATTTATATCTGTTAACGTCAACTTAATGAAAATATATATATGTATATATTTTTTTTTCTATTACAAGAGATTTAACTAATCAAATTTCTAGTGTAAACGGAAACGTTTTAGCGTTCCATTATTATAGAGATTTCCTAATTGGATAGATCTTTCAAAAGTTGCGATATAAATGATTGTTTCCAATTAAATTTTCCCTAAGAAAGATGAATTTTCCAAATTCATAGTATTATTGAGTTCCACTGAACAACCCAACTGTATCTTGAGCAAACTTGCTCGTATCTTCTTTTTTTTTTTTTTTTTTTGCAGGGAAAGTCGTTCGTGACTCATTCGTTCGGAAAACAAAGTGTGATATAAAGCGCGTATTGCGATTTGAAAAAGATGACGTAAAAGATATCGATGTAATATATATATATAACATGAAAAATCATAGATGCTGATATTACAATTATTTCCAACTAAAAATTCGTTCCATAAATAACAAGATGTTCTGAATACGTAATAAGTATGTACAGTGTGAAAATCATATTTACAACACGCGTCGAGAAAAAAGAAGCAAAAAGATCGCGAAAAATATATTCGATAAAAAAAAAAAAGGGAAATATCGGGAAAAAAACGACTCCACGATATTCCTAACTCGTACAAATATAAAATTAGCACTGATGTAACAACGTTTTTTTTCTTTTCTTTTTTTTTTTTGGAAGAATCAATTTACATATTAAAATTAAAAACGATTCTTACACACGAATTAAGGAAGATATATAAAAGTGATACATACGCGCGAAGACCGTGTAATGATCGTTAATTGAGCTGACACCGGAAGCACAGACTAACAAAGGTATTTTCTTCTCCCTTTTGTTTTATACCCTTTTTAATTTATGTTTGGCACATAATGGAAATTGCCGGCGCAGGATACACCGTGAGATTATAATCGTCCGCGCCATTGCCAATTTTGCACATATACGTATATAGATACGTAAGAGAAATAATAAAGATGAGGATGTGTGAGAAGTGCCGAAATATATATATATATATATAGTAGCCGTACAACTATTTTTGAAATTCCATTATATATATCTCGGCGATTCTCGGTCCGATTTTTAATAACAATCTCTCGATCCAATTTATTCCTCGATAAAAGAGAATCGAACCGAAACTTGGACGCAATAGAAAAAAAATATCCAACGCAGTCCCAAGATCTAATCATTTCGCAATTATGTACAGACTAGTGTGTGTACACATGAACAAATATTCATCTAGAATAAAATAATAATAAAAAGAAGACGTTGCACAATGTCGCGCGCGCGCATTTCTCTTTTCACACACACAGACGAAGTAATAATTTTATTAAATATCAACGATTGTAACACGATTAATATAAATAACACGAAAACGAGAAAAGTCGATAACGATATATAAGTAATAAAAAACATACGTACAAAAAAAAACGCACATATCTACTAAAGACGATAAAAGAATTTTGTCTGCCGTTATATCGGGGCGGCTCTTACGATTCGTAAACCAAACTACAAGCATTGAAGGATAGCGAGGGGGGCTAAAATCCGACAGAGAGGAGGGTAAGATCGTAAGATGAAGGGAGCTGAAATGGATAATGATGATGAAGAGAGGGAAGGATATGCCTCTTGATCGAGTCTGGGCTTGAGCTCGCACCTTTCGCTATTTGTCTCTCTCTCTCTCTCTCTTTCTCTCTTCTAGTTACTTTTATCGTATAATAAATATATATTATGTGTGTATATATATAATATATATCATTATTTATATATTCCACGTAATAATTTCATTTATTCTTTTAACAGAAGCGCGCCCCCGACACCGTCCGCGACGTTCACGTCGGCCTTTTTCGTATTCAATTCGCGACGTTTGTACTCGAGGACGACCGCGTCGAAGACGAGATGGCCGAAAATGCTTGTCGAGGACGGCATCGAGAACGCGCTAGGGAACGCGCGCATCCGCTCGTCCCTTCGCGTTTCCGAGATTTTCCTTAGGGGAAGCGCCAAGCGATCGATGATGCGGGGACACGTTCGCGGTCATTTCTTTTTTTTTTGTTTTTTTTTCTTAAAAAAAAAAAAGAAAAGGAGTATTATACCGACAATTGTTTTGGAATCCAAGATTCGCATGCAAAAGCTACGCAACTACCGTGAAATTTCCGCGCGCGAATTATAATCGTTATTTTCCGACCCTCGACGCTCCGCGAGAGTGATCGCGATCTCGGTTATTTCTGGATTACATGGCGACCACGAGTTGGTATTGTTATCTGTCTGTTAGTCTCGAGATTGGTCACGGATGGGACACGGGAGACCGTGTAAAACAGAGATCGATGATACGAAATGCGAATCGACGACGTGCAAGATCGCGGTTCGATGTCACACATGGATTCCAAGAGGGATCTGCAGGAGGAAGCACGTGATTGAAGATACTCAACGCGTTCCTCGTCTGCCCTAGTATAATCATAAGATTCAGTTTTGGATCCTCAAAGTGTCCTAAACCGCAAAAGAGACCGAGGATATTTCCAGGAAATAATTATCTCAAATCGAAGAGTCTGAAGAGCGGAAACACAATGTGTTCCCGTCTCAGAAATGATTCTATGAGACAAAAGTGCACATGCGGCTGAATTATATTCGGGTTCGTTTTTTTTTTTTTCAAAAAAATTCAAGTCGAGTATCAACGATATCTACGCTCTCTCAGACGTCTCCTTCTTCCGTCATTAATTCATCTTCAGAGGGTATATCTACGTAGGTATCGTCGATCCTTGAATATGGTTATAAATACAAACGAAGATGTTAAGATTGTTATATGAGAGGGGGAATATGCATCGTGTTTCGCATATTGAACGCATTACGTATACGCGAAACAGAATGCACATGTTAATTTACGTTCCCTCTTTATATATGCATCATTTCGTATGCAAAACTACATTTTTTTCACCAGGGAGTACAGAATTTCGGTGTGAAAGTACTTGCTATGGATTCTTTGAACCGCAAGTCAGTCCCCGTGATACTACACGTCGCACTTCCGTTTGCAGTCAGTCCGGAATGAAGCAACTAAGCTCGCGAACCGGTCGCGAAACACGTCGAGACGCGTATATAATTCGCATTTTTGTTTGCTTTTCTTTTTAGAAAAAACTCTAACAATCGGCCTAATATTATTTAGTTGCGCGCGTCATCGCGCAATAGTAATAATTTATAATAATAATAATAAAATTCTCTTTGCGCGTATTTTTTTATCTCTCCCTGTCTCGCGTATCTCGTCTCTTTTTTTTACGTCTTTTTTAAATATAAAAATGAAAACTAACGTATTTATCTTTGGCTTGTTCCCTTTACCAATCGGCGGCAGCTTTTGCGGCTGCGGCGCGTGCATCATTATTTTTTTTTTCTTCTTCTTTTGTTTAAATAACTTTTTTTTTGTACAGTTTTGTACACTCGGGTGTGTCTGTGTACGCGCGTGCGTATCTTCTTCATCTTTCCATGTACATGCTTCCATGTAATCTCTTTAGGATACGTGAATGTGTGTGTATGTGTATGTATATATATGTTTGTTTTGGTGTGTCTTGTTGAATTTTAACGTACACGTCTTGAAGCGCGCACAAATAGACTTCTTTTTGAGTGTCGTGCGAGTGTGTGCTACGTATTGTGTCTCTCTTTCTCTTCCCCTCTTTCTCTCTCTCTCTCTCTTTCCATTTCTCACTGTCGTGTGTCTTGTTTCTTTTTTTTTTCTTTTTTGCAAGTGTATCGATTTGCAAGCTGGTTGAACACAGTGCGTGGCCCAGCCCCGTATACGCCACTGACAGCTTCGCGCGCACCGCGATGCTCCGCGTCCTTTCGACGGCGATAACGACCACGGCAACGCTCCACGTTTAGTGGATCGGCGATTTCACAATGTGGTCCGGCGGGATGAAGTGATACGCGGGCATAGGCACCCCCGATGTCTCCATCGATATCCTGAAACACAGTCAATCGGCCCGTAAGAAACAACACAACGTCCATTCGTATCGTTAATGATTGAGTCTACCGACAAAAGATGAAAGAGAGAGAGAGAGAGAGAAAGAGAGAGAATTTGAATAATTTTATGTCGATCCAATGTATCATTTTACTATACATCAGCTTCAAAAGTTTTAATTGTTATAATTAAATTAATTCTGATATTTTATAGATCTCTTTCTATCTCTCTATCTTCTCGTGTTTATTAGGAAAAAAGTTTTGAATAAAATTTCGATACGTTCCCGCGATACCGGAGGAAAAGACTATAATTAGGCATGGTTGATCTTTTCGTCCGAGTATCAAGTTGTTGTCCAACATGCAACATGTGTAAAAGTATAAAGTACAACGCGCTTGAATCTCTAACGATTCTCTGATTCTCCGTGTGTCGCGTCTTAAATTGCATGCCCGATCTACGAACTTTGTACGAACCATCGCACAGCGAAGCGACATTACAGACACTCGATCTGTGTTTAAAAAATTCGACCTGCAAAATAAAACTGTTACTACCAGATAACGGAAGGCAATGTTATTACAATTTTGATTTATAGAAATCTTATCACGGATCTCCCGCAAGGATTCGGATGGTTGATCATAAAACATCTGGTATAAAAAAATAAAAAATAAAAAAAAATAAATAAAAATAAAAAATAAAAATTTGCGCAAGACGATTGAATAAAAATAAATAAAAAAAAAAAAAGAAAAGAAAAGAATGAGAACTTTACAGCCAACAGGATAAGTCGTTTAACAGGACTACGAAAAGGAACGGATGGTGCTTACCAAAAAACGGGCAGGAGCCTGGGTCAAGTTGGTTGGATGGATACATCTTCTCTCTCTCTCTCTCTCTTTCTCTCTCTCTCTCTCTACATCTCGCTTTCGAATTTCTCTCCGAATCTTGATTACATTTAATAGTGAGACATATACATATATATGGGCCTTGTACTAGTGGCTCGTATTCTCAACATACATTGAGCGTTGAAAGTAACTGAATACGATCTTGAATTCAATCTGTCGTGATTGATACAAATGTAGCGTAAAAATAGCGCTAAATGTACTAGAATACGGCCAATTACGTAATATATACATAGAGAAAAATTTTATCTGGCACATCGATTTCTTTTGAAACGTGACTACTAATAGCAAAATAAAAAAAATAAAAAGAAAAATGAGTGGCTGATGAAGCCATGCTTGTGTCGCATTTTTACAACAAATGAGATATCTTCATGTGCAGAATATCCCTATGTAATCGATTCAAAAATATGTAATATGTAATCTTATAATTATTATCAAAACTGAACGATATATCTCTTTGGTTGTCTCTTTAATTATAAGAGAAAAAGACTCAAGAGATGTCGTATTTGAAAGAAGGTACTAATAAAACGTTCAGGTGCCGTGAAAGTGGTCGCGCAATATATTGGAGATTTCATTTCCAATCATTTAAGACTTGTTGTTTCTTCTACAAAACAAAAGTTTTTGAAAAACAAACGTTTCGCGTTATTAATTTTCCGATATAAAACACCGTCGTAGACCAATACGTACATTGCGGGACCTCATTCGCGGGGAACGCCAAATTTCTGTTTATTCGGTATTGTATTTTCTCTTACTCTCTATTAAACACGCCTAGCTTTATTTAACAAGATGATACAGGACACAAAGCTAAAGTCTGATAGTTAAGCATTATAAGCTCTGCGACATTGTTATAGAAACTAATGTACAGTTGAAGATTATTTGCTTGTAAGATTCTATGCATGATGATGTAGAAATACCAGGCGTAGCGATGCGCGATAGCTCTCCCCTTAAACTAATCGAATATTCCAACAGAGAAATTTAGATTTTCATTTACTATTCCAAGTATATTCTTGTCTAATTATTATCAACAATCATTTAATTATTCTCTCACTCGTTTAATTATTACTGACGATTAGCAATAGTCTTCATAGAAAAAACAATCGGATGGAGCAATTGTGAAGTTCTGATAATTATATCAAATTTTCAACATGTTTCGACTTTGCGCCTGCATTTAAAACGGACTTCTTAATTTCTACGCATCGCTGCACTTGATACAACTACGGAGCTCTGCGTATTCTTTGATGCATCGTCGATCCCTCTCGCGATTTTTCCTTTCTTTTGAACCGCGAACAGTCGCTTAGCGTCGGAGTTTATTATTGTCTCAAGAAAGAAACGGAACGAAACGATACAATTTAAAATGGAGAAAAACGCAATGAAGATATCTCGCGATCATGGCGACGGTCGATTTGAGCGGAATAAACGTTTTTTTCTGCGAACAAAATAAATTTCCCAGAATTCCATGTGTTCCGAATAAACCGTGACCACGATAAGTGAGATACTTGTGATTACGCGATTGTTTATCTTCTGATCGGTTACTACTTGCAAATACACATGTTGTCTCGCTATGAACTAGGATTGAGCACATAAACACTTATCTTGGCGACTTCGAATCTTATCGATCGCTTATCAACGATCAGACACGCATCTCGAACGGCTGGAAAGTTTCCTTCCCTTTTTTTCTTTTCCCCGCAATTGCTTAGATCTAGATCTAGCTGATCAAACGTTTTTTTGCGACTAGATGATTTCGGTTTCACGTATTTTCTTTCCATTATTTTTTTTTTATTACTTACAGAACAGTAGATTAACAAGACGATTGAGTTACTGTGGAGTTAGAAATCTGATTGTGTCTTTAGTGTATATATATTTATGTAGCGTTTTATTTTAGTTTGATTTCACAAAAAACGTAATTTACACGCGAATCCGTGCAGACCTCGCTTGTCTCGCGTGCACAGATGCATAAGAATTAAGTGTAATTACTGTTACAACAATACAACCACTATGTGTGTACAGCTTGATTGAATATTTCGAATAGCGATGATCGGTTATACGTATAATGCTTCGCAAAATTCTTCATGCTCGTACTGTAATAAATTTCTCCCGATCGCTTTCTCGGTTGCAGATCGTTCTTTTTTCTTGTTTTTCTTTTTTTTTTAATAAGAAAGAAGACTGCAAAAGTCATTCAAAACACGTTACATGATGTGGTGCATCCTTTCAACATGATTTATGAAGAATGGTAAACACATGATTCAAGATGATTTCTTTCACGCATCTTCCCTTCCACTTCTCTATGTGCTTTTCATCACACACACTGTGATCACGCGCGCAAAACTTTCTTTTTTTTTTATCTATCGATAGAATTTCTATCTACTACGAGAAAAAAAATCACATCGGAATAGCTACACTAGAATAAGAGTTCTTGCTTCAAACAGTAATCAATTATAATTAATAATAATATTGTAATAAAGTCATAATTACGATAATATAATTATAATAATTATAGATTTATATATATTTTTATATCAAAAAAGGCTGTCTTTGCGACGGTGCATGAGCGAACGCGTCCTCCGAGTGTTCCTACCAAAAATCGCTTGTACAAAATAAAACGCAAATGTCGAATAAAATTTTATTTACGGTATAATCGTAAAGAATATCAAGAAAATTTATCATTAATGATTTTCGTTATATTTTTCGTTACTTGTACAATCAGTCTTTACGCGACCCCATCAATCTCGGAGGGCGTGTCACGATAGTATATGTTGCCAAGACTTAGCATCGGATCATATACGTGGCTTTTAAAAACACAAGAAATTCCAAAATCTTCACCAATCCTCTTTTCTCCCCAACCAAAGATAACATAAACAGAGAAAAAAACAAATTAAAAAATTCTATAAAATGTTTCCGCACAGTGATATTCAGGAGAAACTCAATCATGAATACGAGTAAGTGGAGCATCCTCGTTATTTTTCCAACAAATCTATCATTGATGATAATCAATAATTTTTCGCCAAAAAATGATTTTCTTCGATTATGCGTCGACTTATACCCATGTAGAAAAAAAATTATATTCGTTTTCTTATTTTAACAATTATTTTAATAACAAAAACAACGAGTGTCGATCCTTCGCCAAGTCTTCATACTCGCTACCCTGGCGTCCGTACGCACATTTAACTTCAATGTTATACAAGTACTCGCTATGTATAGATGTAGATGTGTGTAGTGTTTTTCCCATTGTAACACATCATTCCGCCGCTTTTTCCGGTCCGTTTGTTCAGTAAGGATTGTACTTGGTACGCTCGGACTTGAACTTGCCGCTGTCGGTCGGGCCTGGTGCGCCCGGGCTACGAAGCCTCGGCGTAAAGGTCTTGTGCGATCGGTGCACGCCGGTGGTCTGGACCGGAAGCGCGGATGCAGCCGCGCCAGCAGCACCACCTAGCAATTCCGTGAGTCCGCCGAGGGCGGTCAGGCTAGATAGGGCGTTGAGGGCGCCTGGCTTGCTTAGCAGCTGAGCCAAGGGGATGGCGCTGGCCAAAGGAGAGGCAGTGGTAGTGGTAGTAGAGGGGGAAGCACTGGCCCCGGATGCTCCGGGAGTGGTACCGCTGCCAGGGGTTTGGGTATTTTGGGCCTCTAGGTTAGCTTTCTGCAGTTCGACACTGGGGAAAAGACACAAAATGTAAAAAGGTGAGGGCGGGAACGTTCCTCGTAAAATAGTGTCAAAGAGATTTAAAAAAAAATAAAGAAGAAAAACATAAGAGATGATAAAAAGTAAAGAAGAGAAATGTAAAATAGTAGTAATAGTAATAGTAGTAGCAGTAGTAGTAGGAGTAGAGTAGTAACAGTAAAAGTAATAGTAGAAGTAGCGGTAATAGTAATAATAGTAGTAGTAGTAGCTGTCGCGAAGAGTTATTGAACAAGGCGACGTAAAAAAAAAAAAGAAAAACTATCAGAAAGAAGATAAATTAAATCACAAATTGTAGGCTTAGAGAGTTACGCCAGAGAGTGCTCTGTGGAGCGTGATTATCACGTACACCGGCTACGTGGTTCGTGGGGAGATTTTTGTTTTAATCAGGCCGCATTTAGATCCTAATGTTCGGGTTCGTAATGGACATCGGTTGACTCGCGTCGTGATTTGCGCCGACTAAGGCATCGACGAACGAGTCAAACGTGTCCGTAGGACGAGAACACCGAACACATCGGGACACGGTCGAAATGCGTCCTAGATCGCGCGACAAGGATGCATACGAAGAAGAAGATAAATACACGCGTTCGCCAATCTACTTTCAGAATAGTATACAGTAAATTCTGCAAATGTGTCACATCTACCATACTAATAGTAGATTTGCGAACGATGCGACTTTATCCCTAGGTGTAACGGGCTCATGGTTCGTTGTACAGGCAAGGACACCAATTTAGAGGATATTTGCATCTTTCGTGAATTCGTCATACTAGGATAATCGGTCCCTGCGTCAGTAGAACAAACCATAGCTTCGTGTTTTTTTTTTATAGAAAAGATAGAAAATCAAAGTAAACCAGACGCAACGATATGCATTCTGCCATATTAAGCTCTACTATTGATAAGACAAGATCGCGAGATTGCACAACGTGCGCTTTATCGTACACATTTTGAATACGAGATGAAATAGATGGCAGAGTGCAGATCTTGGCTCCGATGGGAGTGCTGGGATATACGATACGTAATAAATACGATGATAAAGTTAACGGGTAAAAATACAGAAATATCAAGAGATGACGAATATATACGGTATCGCTATTTATATGCAGTAGTAAAATGTGAGTGGCAATCTGGAATAAAATATAATGGATTATAATTATAACGTGAGGGATATATGAAAAAGTGTGTGTCGATCCGCGGCTTTGAATTGTACATTCGGCTGATGCTGGTGGTCTTACGCGTGGCGCGCGGACTTTATTTCGTTGTCCTCGAATCTGCGATCCAACGATTACACACGTTAGTACCGTTCACCATTCTAATGTCGCTTTGATGGAAATAGATTAGTCCCATAGCGTGTAATTAAAAAAAAAAACACAAATAAAAGAAAAACATTGACTCGAACACCGATCAATGAACATTTAGCGATGACAACAGCGATGAAGCGTATAATTAAAATGTAAAGATTACTACGACAAGGTTCCTGGCAAGGACGAGAAAAATTCTTTTTCACGTTTATCGCATAAATAAAGGCACCATTTTTGTATAATGCATATAATGCACGTGACATGTCAAGTGCTAGAAAGATGCTCGCACTAAAAATAATTGTACGGTTTTTTTTGTGAATTAAAAAAACGAAATTACAAGCGTAAATGTTAAGCTAGTCGTCCATTACCGGGAGCCTGTCTCTCAAACTAGAAAGAAAACCGTGTCGTTAAAAACCGAATCGAAAAAGGAGGAACTGTGATGCGTTTGTTTGGGACTGATTTCAGGATTGATTGTCACTAACGAGCGACAGTCCTCGTGTACATCTTTCTTTTTTTACTATGTTTTTCAGTCGGTAAGTTTATTTTTGCTTGAAAGGACAGCCAGCGACATGGGAACAGATGTTGAGCGGAGTTGTGTCTGCAGGATACTCGGGGTGGTACTGGACCTGGAAGACAGGACCTGGAAATAAAGGATTAAGATCTCCTCTTCCTCATCTCGTGTGGCTCGATGTGTAGTTGTCTTCCAGGCAATCTGCATCTACGCGAGCGCCTTCTCTGAAATCGTAGCCGTCGATGCCTCGACGTCGTCTCGTCCCGCATCTTTACCTTATGTCTATCTTACGATCTGTGATCGCTGTAAACTGAGGTGGCGTTACATGACGATACTTTTCATTATTCATCATGATTATTATTTTCATTATTCATCTCATGAATGATCTCGAAAAATTATCGTTTTATAGTCTCATCAACGGACTATGCGCGCACATTCTACAGTGATATTTTCTTCAGAGTAATGCCACCTCTTTTATAACATTTCTCACGGCCACACGCAGAAACGACTTTTTTCCTGTTATAGATTCTCCTTTTAGGAACACAGTAATCTTCTTTAATATTCGTATTTATATTTCATTTGTTTAAATTATAAAATTTTATACGATTTTGAATGAAACCATTTCTTTACGTGGACACAATTAAAGTTACCATTTATTCTTAAAGTCTTATCTTTGATTTTATTCTCATTTATAGTTTGCAACACATCCATGCGAGAACCTAATGGGTAAAGAAAAATGAAAGTCGTCTATACGCGGGTTGCCGTGAACAGGGGTAGCAACGATGATGATGGAAGATGTCGCGAGGGGGGTGCCGATTCGACTATCCCTTACATAGTCTCACCATTAAGACACCAAAAGTGAGGCGACAAGTTGCATGAGGAACGAGTAATACAAACAGGCGAATCGGCGAGTCTCAATTATGAGGCATAGGGGAAGGAGGGCAACAAGAAAACTTTATACCGGCGCACTATTTTATCCGGTGAGCGGAAGAGATACGGGAAAAAAAAAGAAATAAAAAAAAAGATCAAGGGAAATGCATATCGCGATCCACTGCAAAACGTAGCCGGGACGAGTTTGACAGCTTCTAATTGGAAATGGAATTTGAGACACCGAATGCCGAACCTCGGGCGAACCTTGGGGGGACAGGAGTGTGGCTTCTCCCTCCTTTTCCCCATCCGGTCCGGGTTCCTAAGGTTGACCTTCGGTTAACTGGCGAGCCTGAGGAAGTAGCGTACAGGCTCCTCCGCGCGATGGTACTCACCTCATATTGATGAGATACTGTGCTAACGCTACGGCGTCCGGATTCCCGGTTATGGTGATGGTGCGGTCCGTTGCTCCGCCCTCCCTCTCCTCGCAGTTGCTGATTCTGATCATGGCGCCCGAGATCTGACGGATCTCTGCGATTTTGGTACCGCCCTTCCCGATGATGCAACCGATCAACTCGTTTGGCACGGTCATCTCATGCGTCTGATTGTTCGCCGCCGGTTGCTGCCTGTTCGTATTGCTCGTACGCAGCTGGCTCCCGGCCAATGCGGCTAATGCTACAATCATTGCACAAATGTTAGAAAAGTTTCGGCATGACCGTAAAATATGGAGAGAAATTGCCTCTTGTAAAAACAAATATTTGAAAAAGTAGAGCAGAGGTAGATTTCTCTTATATGATAATTCAACAATTTCCCTAAGACTGCTCTCATACATTAATTTGCGTTAGTTGAAATTCATTGATATTTACAGTTCCAATCTTTTTCCATCTCTACCTACTTTATTCAATTGTCTTTTTAATTAAGCTTAATTGTTAAAAGAAAACAAATTGATAACAAAAAGCAGAATAAAGAAATTTATTAATTTAAATATATTTAGATTTGCCTTTTTATGAAAATATTGAAAATTAAAAAGCTTGCAGTGATTTAATATACGTATCGCGATAAAATATATAAATATAAAACAAGAATATCTTTTAATGTTTTCTACACAAGCTTTATTGCGACAGGGAGGATAACACATTGACTTGTCCATCTATGATTTCTCGACGTTGTATTTGCTTACCTGCTGGGTTAAGACCACCTGTGTTCGCTGGTGTTGCGAGACCTCCAAGACCCAAGGCTGCCAGTCCAGCCAAAGGATTGCTGCCTAGTTTGCCCATCTGTAACAACGACGATGCGATCCATCGTTCAGAAATAGGTGCCGCGGGTAAAGAACGAGCAATAATCACTCGGGGTGTGCGCTTTACAAAGGAGAGGGTTTACGACGATGACATCGAAAAAGTAATATATCTATGTTCTTTGAACCTGTGTCCGCTACCTCGCGCGTCACACACTCGAGGATCTTCGATCGCGATCAAGAATTCTTATCGTTAGCTCAGGGGCAGGCTCACCGAGAGAGATCACTCAGATTCTACAACACGAGGGAGAAAGGAGAAGGGGCACGCGCAGTTGACGACGATTCGTGTTCATCATCTCCGATACTTATCGCCGCGCGAAACTCTCAGCCTTCATCGTCTCGCGGTCTCCGCGACAGACGGTAATCGATCAATCGTCCCGACTTCCTAGGACCGGTCCGACAGCTTACTAACACGAGCTCTACGATGGCCATTTGTATGCGAGCATATCGTTTCCAAAGATATTCAACCCAGAGCAAATGTTTCAACGTGGCAAAGTTTAAAGCATTATTAAAATTTGTATTTTACAATCTTTTTGTCAATAAATTCTCGCTGTAATTAATCCGTGAGGAATTGAGGAAAGATAGCTTGAGATCAAATTGGTAAAGGACAGAAGAGATTCTGATACTAAATAATATCTAAAGAAAATTGTTATTAAAACTTCTGTCTTCTCTCTGCAACCATATTAAATTATGATACCGAAGCGGGAAATCATATAAATTTTTTTCTGTCATTGAAGGATCAAGAATGCTAAACAAGAATATTATTACTCAATTTTCAAATATTTTGTATCCGCGCACGATTTATTTCAGTTTAACTTTGTTTTTGAATCCGTATAATATTTTATAAATGTCCGCCAGATTTTCTTGCTCTCGATGTCATACATAAAACATCGCTCTGAGCAGTCTCAAATATTCCCGCGTGTCTATCGCAAAGATATAAAAATTGGCACGTCTTTGAAATGGATTAGCGATATTTTATATATGACATTTATGTCTTGGCAAGTTTTTCTGGATTGGACGAAGAGCATGCAATCATAAAATCGTAAAATGGCGATCGACGAGATCGGGCTAGTGGACCGTGTTGCGTTACTTCGAAAATCGTGGCAGAAATCACTTAGAAATAGCTTGATAAGGGGTGCGGGGGCTTTCAGAAATTACAGAAAGAGAGAGCGAACGAGACGGAGAGAGAGGAAGGATGCGTATCCTTGCACTCTCATTGTGTGATACTGTTAAACCGCTCGTGAAAATAATCGCGATAATTCTCTTCCGACCGTTTCCACATTATACACGATGTACTTACACGATATTTGATATTTTTTTATTATTTGCACCGCGCTTTATCGGGTATAATTTGCTGCCATTTTATGAACGATACGATTACCGTAATTGTGTAGTCATTATTAATTGTGTAATTAAAAATTGACAAAATCATCCAATTAGCTATTTTAGCATCTTGAACTCATGTTAATCATTTTAATTTGCTGCAATAATTATCTCCTAAATATTACAATAAGTTGATTGTTTAAAGAAAAAATTTATAAATAAAAGTTTAAAGAATAATTGTGTATATCTGCTAATTATATAATAATAATAATATTTTTTTATCTTTACTCTTCTTAAAAAAAACGAAATGAAAAGTGAGTGGGAAGGAATGGGAAATGCAGATAGGTACATTGTGCCCTTACACGAATGATAAACTTCATTCTCTATCACAATGTCGTTATCTAAACTAATTTATGTGCACAATTTCTAACATACAGCGTGTTGCACTGTATATATAAAATTATATATAAAATACACGCGTTTGTGTCTGATATATACAATCTGATATATTATCCATTAAGCAAGATTATATCTTTTGTCATAACACATCTAGAATATAAAGATATGTATATATATGCAGAATATCTGAATATATTAATACACATTAATAAATGTTAATAAAAAAAATATTTCATATATATTTTAATATATTATATATTCGTTGAATTGTTCAATCATTAGTCATACATATTTCCAATGATAATCAATAAGTTCTCTGAAAAATATTAATGTAGGTCTGGATTCACGAATGTGCAAACGCTTCTCTCATAGACAACCGTCTCGATATGATTTCTAATATACCTAAATGGTGGAAACGTAATGTTACAGGGCAGCCCACCCTTACGCGAACTCGTCGCTGACTCTTAGCTAAAAAAGTGCCGGAAGCCATGCTGTACTAAACAGGATGCCGAAGGAACAATGGGCAACTCAGGATGAAGGCGAAGAAACGAACAAAACGTAGCTCGACAGTCTGACAAGAGCGATATTAATGTATGTATTGTGTCTGCGTGTGTGCGAGCGTGTCTGTGTGCATTTATGTCCGGATATGTGTGTGTGGAGAAGATTTTTCATTTCTCTTCTTTCACACACATTTATTTCTCACATAGTTGAAATGAAACACAAGCTCACGAATATGTAAATAGCCGTAGTTGATTCTTCAGATAGATTAGTACATTGTTAATAATTTTTTCTGCAAACTTTACTATAGCTAGTTTTAAAAAATTATTTCTTTTTTCAAAATATTTTTTTAATCTCTCGAAACAATGAAATATTTCGAAATCAGTATATCTTATGCATTTATGCAAAATTTAATTTTGTAAAGCCCTTTGTATATTTCCAACTATTTAAAATTCAAAAAATACAAACATAGATACATAAGTATGGCATTCTTTTTAGTATAATAATTAGTATCTGTCGAGAGAAAGTTCGCGTTGATTCCTAGACAAACAATATATTTCGTGTAAGTCATTTTAAATCTACCAAAGAAATCAAAATGATAATCTTTTCAATGTGTATATATTTTCAATACATGTAGCTAAATAAAAATTTCATAAGAATTCAAAGTGTCGATTAATTGTATTCAACTAGGAGCGAGAAATAAACATTAGAATCTAAATGAGTGCGTAAATACGTTTGCAGTTTCTTTCTCCTGAGTTTTTCTCTTTCTTTTAAGGGAAATTTGATCGTCATTGTTATTGGAAAAGGAAAGTCAGTTTTCAGGAGAACGGGAAACTTTTCTTGTAAGAGAAACCGTGTGAGATAAAAATAGAAACATAAAATCGGTGTACAAAAACAAAAGCGAAGTAGTATGTAGTAATCGTGTACTGTAAGCCGTAGAGTTTATATCAAGCAGACTGGAAAACTGAGAAAGAGTATTAAAGATGGGATCGTAAAAGAGAGTAGATATAAAGCGCAATAGAATAATAATAATATACCTAGGTAATCTACCTCTTTTCGTGCCACGCATGCATATATCTGTTCGTTTGTGATTTTGTCGTAAGTAGATTATTCTCATCGAACTTTTGCCGATCAAACCGCCCTTTCAGCCACGTCTCTCGAAGTCACCGAGATAAGAAGAGCGATCGCGAACAGGAAGAAAGAGGAAGAGAGAAAAAAAAACAGAACCGTGGTCAAGACGCAATATAGTATCCGAAAAGACAATGGGAGATATTATGTATTATGCTATGAAAACGCGTATTTCTTTCTATCTCGCGTTCGTTTTGTTTTATTTCCGGGTAGCAAATCGGACTCGAGGAAGTCGGGTTCCATGTCGGTCGTCGGTCGTTGAAAAGCGCACAGAAAGAGGAGATAGGACAGAAGGTGAGACGCGACGATAACGTCATCCTGATAATGCCTTGTCAAAACATTCACATGGATTTCGATTTCGAAAATTTCGCCGCGCAAGAAATCTGGTTTGAATATTGAGTTACGATTTTCTGTTGTGAAAAATCCTCCTTAGCTAATATTAGCATAAATCGATAAAATGGAGGAGCGTTAAACAAAAACAATTATTTCAATCGACTTGCGATGTAATATCATACAAAATTTAATTGTATACATTTCGTTAAAAGAAAAACTTATTTCAGAACCATTTTCATCCCGATTGAAAAGGAGTTTGAATTTAAATCCGATAATTTGATATTCATTCGTCCGAATGTGACGAATCAGACATAACTTTACAACATTTTTTTACCAAACTAAAAAACACCACTCAAAAAAATGTCTTGCTGATATAGGTAGATTTCTAGGTGTCGCAACAAAAATTTATCGCTATTTTTTGTATCTGTTAGAATATTGTCTGTTACATATAGAATTTATAGCAGCAACATTCTAATAATATCTTCTAGAAAATTTAGGTCCCATTGCCAAATGTTAATCACTGCATTGGATAAATATGAGTTTCGATACTACAGCTAGAACGATCTTTGTGAGAAATATAACTGCCAATTATAACTGCAGCATCGAAAAATTGAGAGAAATTGTTTAAAAGAGCTAGATAGATTGGGCGCGTTATACAAATATGTTAGATGTGAGGATTATATATTCATTTGTTTCTTGCCGCTAATCTTTTCTGTGTACCACAGCCAAACTTTATAACAAGTATGATTGGCCTTAACATGGATAGGCGCCACAGAAAAACATTCTTTCTAAATTTCACAAACAGTTCAGATATAAATTCTGTCTCTGTCACTTAGATTGATTAAATGCGAATCATATGCGATATCACAGTATTTGCTAATCATTTATGTACCTCAGTTTTAATTTTGCGCACCCAGAAAATTTTTGCTGTAGTTGCAATACCACTTTTTTGAGTGACTAATATAGCAGAAAAGAACTTATAACTGAAAAAATACAGCACAAGTATATTCGAAAACTGAATAAAGTCTCCTGTCGTTCCTTTTCTCGGTCGAATTGATCGTACGGGCATTTTTTATCAAGTTGACGTTTCATGGCGTTTCTGCCGATCGATCGGCCGGACGAGTGGATTTTTCAGAGCACCATCACTGATGGCTCGAAATTATAATGTCGACTTATTTGACGAGATATCGATTTGGCCTCCTCATCGATCATTCGAACCATTCGTCGAGACCTGTAGCGATAACTTGGGACCTTCTGTATATGTCTCTCTCTCTCTCTCTCTCTCTGACCGAATCCAACGACAAGCCATGACGAATCTATTGTGCGATTCGTGAGCAAGCATTCATGCTAAGCAGACTCGATCGTTTGACGCGCGAGACTCGGACCAAATCTGTATATTTTGCCTTCAAAAATTCCTCCCGAGAGCGCTTCTGCCGCTCTCAGACGATGATCGTATCAACAACAAAGCCAGATTACTGCATTTGCTCGATGCAATCAATCTGTATCAGATACAAACGATAGAGATCGATTAACTCTAGGATGCATATCCTGTATTTTTTTCTCATCTAAAAGTATACGTAAGTCCTATAATATATAAAAGAATGAAACAGTCAATACGATCATCAGTGGAACGGTGTAAATGCAACGTTTAAATGCACGACGAAAACTTCCAGATACCAAGTTGCAAATTAATAGATTTGAAATCGCAATATATCATATATATGCCAATAAAAAAAAACACGACAACTGATTAATTGCTAATATTAAAATGAGATAGATAAAAAATTAATTTCTAGAATCCAAAATTAGTCTAGATAAAATTATAAATATATATATATATATATTGAGAATCAACAAAAATCAATAAAATTCATATTGTTATTAAGTTCTAACTATTCATTAAAATTAAATGTAAATACGGCATGCTAAAGTCAATTGCCAGATAAATCTCCATAATGATAAGTGAGACATCGATCGGGATACGGAACGCTAAAAATTCTCTCTGCGTTCAACATGGTATCAGAGTTTATATCGTGTCGTGCAAACGCACTCCATGGCATGCATCGTTGAATTTCTTTATGCACTTGTGAAAAATACGATAAGCAAATTTTAAGGTGATCAATCCACTACCCAAAACCGCAAGCATATTATGGGAAGAGATACGTGTACGCAGGCTCGGATCGAACTTGTTAGAAGCGTCTCTCGGTAAACGTTTAAAACTTAGAAAGAAAGAAAAAGATAATTCAGAAAGAGAGAAAAAAGCATGCACGTAACGACACGTGCGGATCACATGAAAAGCAAAGCTGGCAAACTTTTCGCGCGACTTCGTTGAAATCGTAAAATTATCGAAAGACATTTTTTTTCGAGAATGCGAAAGAGAGATCAGCTTTTCGCGATCACCGAAATGTGACATTCGCAGAGAAACATTGATTAATTAAAAAAGATCGCAAATCCACTGCTATATTTTTGACAAGAGAAATCTTTTCAAAGTGGCCGGATGGCAAAGCAATTCTTGACAGAAAAAAAAAAAAAAAATACACACATTGAGAGACTCGCTATTAAATATAATTACAGCACGTGTGCTTTATCTAATTCCGCGATGTTTAATCAGATGTTTTCGCGCAGTCGAAGTCACGCGATTAGAAAATGTTTGAAGGTATATACGGTCCGAGCTAATTGTACGACAGGATCCTCTATCGTTCTTCTCGCAGTTGACAACAACTTGCAAGATGTTTCGATACAAATATTCCTGGATAAGAAACTCGGAACCGTACGGAGGAGTATCGAGCAGAAAGCCAAGATGTTGATGCATATACGCGGAAACGGGAAGGAACACAAGGGATAGCAAAGAGCTTCAAAAGGAGGGGACCAGGTGTGGTTCTAGACAATAGTGAGATATAAATATATTATGAGCTTTCACGCGGCATTCGGCAGAAATTGGAACGATTTTAAATTTAGAGTTACGTCGGTCGTAAATTCTGTCAACCATATATTGTAACCGCATCGTTGTTTATTGTTTCGTGCTCTACGCGAAATAATCGTAAATGCCAGGAGGACTCGCCAAAGAGTTACTTTGATGCGTCTCGACATCGTCTCGCGATTCCTCACAAAGATTCCTCAATCGGGAATTCACTGCAAATATATAATATAGAATACGTAGAAAAAAAAGGATGAAACATCTTAGCGCGATTGATTTTTGAATCCACGTGGAATATGAAAGTTAAATTATGTATGTATATCGATCGTGAATAGGCGGTGGATAAATGCAAATTACTATGCATACTTTACTTAAATCGTCTCCTTCCGACATAATCTTCTGAAATAACGTTCAACCGTTTGAATTTCAAATTGAAAATTCGTATTAATCTTGATTTAATAATACTTGAACTTGTGCAATTCTCAGAAAATTTTCTATTATAGCCAGTACGATATACTATTCACATTGTTCAATCTAATACACATTGCTTTAATGATATTATATTGCAGAGAAAAAGAAAAAAAACTTAAACGCGGATTAAATAAACATCAACCAATCACAAACAATAACAACTCTGAATTTTTTAAAGATGCCAGCCTATAATCTAAACCGCTGTTTAGTCGCTGTCACAATAAACGAGTAACTGCACGGTTGATCATTCGTTAATATAAAATCTAAAATTTCTCATCTCGAAATTGCTAAGCTAACCGCAAAGCAATTCTACTAATGCCGTGAACGAGCGTTGCTTCACCGCACGAGTAATTTCTTTTAACTACCCTATGAAAAAAAAAGAAACAACAAATATTAAAATAAAATATTGAAAATAGATGATGAATTTGTATAGCTGCGATATAAAATATTAAACGTTTCAATTGATTGTTTAAATTACTAATTGTTTCGATATTAAGCCGATCAAGTTTTTAGATATACTTTGCTAAAGAGAAGGATGTATCTTTTTCCCAGAAACATCTGATTTTTTTCGTAATCGTTTCAATTTCAAACCATCTGCCATCGTCGAGCTGAAATTTGTCTCGATATACATCAAGGATCGTGTACAGTGAGGGGACACTGAACAGGAGGTGTTGTATCAATTTTCTTCGGACAAGTGGACAACGGAAAAATCCATCGTATGTATATATTATTCGGGGAGATATGGCAGTGGTAGCCGGGGGAAGGGGGTGTTATCGTGTGGTCGAGAAAAGGTATGGGGTGAGGATGGATCACGAAAAACAAAAGACTTACGGCGTCTGCCACGAGGTGTGCGGGCGGGAGGGCTGCCTGCAAGTGTCCACTCTTCAGCAGGGGGTCGGCGAGGCCTGCCACGCTGGCGTGTAAGGGGCTCGGATGGAGAGGATGATGTGGGGTTGTAAGGTGGGCCGTGGATAGGAGCGGGTGCCCGTGAGAAGCGGCGAAGGCCGAGGACGAGGGGTGGTGAGCCGCGAAGGGCGAGGTCGCCAAAGTTTGGGTATTCAGCGAGGGCGGGGCGGGCCCGGCAGCGGGCGCGGGCAATGGTAATACTGTACTTACGTCCGAGTGGGCGGGCACCGCGTAATTACCCTGGATGGTGTAGGCTTGCCCACCAGCCAGGATCACTGGCCCACCGACTTGGGGTTTGGGGCGATAAGGGATCGTGGCACCTTTAGGAGGGGACTGAAACAGAAAGAAACACACGCACGAGTGCGAATACACCGATCGAGCCATTACAGGTTTGGTACGGCGTCTAACGTTAACAAAGAATGGCCCTTTTACCGTATTAAAGTCCAGAATGATGTATCAATTTGCGTTCAGAAAAAGTTCAAAAAGTTGCTTCATAGTCGAGAAGCTTGTAAATAATTTAAATGTAGTAAAAATTTGTTGTATGCTAGTACTATCTTATCCTGGACTTTACTAGATTGATCTAGTTCATCATAGTTCGACACAACACTGTAAATTATTCAAACCCGTGCACGTCCAAAGTTGAATCGATTATAGTATGCTAAATATATTCAAATCTTGATACCATTGCAGTTGCTATCTGTCATTAATAAACATGTAAGGAATTTTATAGATACATTTTGAATATTCGAATTAATGACACTCTGAATGATTCTACAAATATGGAGTATTTCTGACTATTAGTCGCTCCAGAAAGTAACTTTTATAAAAACAATTTGATTCCAAAGTACGAACTATGACGAAACTAGAATGGTCGGGCTATGTATACGTACCTCTAGCATAACGCAGCAGATATGATATATGCACTGCGTGATCGCCTCGCTGGTACCGGATATGGTTACTGCGCGTTCCGTCGAATTAGGCAGCATCTCGGAAGCGACTTGGATGGAGGCACCGGTGACCTCCCGAATCTCCTTGATCTTAGAACCACCCTTGCCGATCAAAGAACCGCATTGCGAAGCGGGGACGATCAGTCTGAGCGTGATTGGTGGCCTCGACACACCGCCGCCACCGCCGGCACCGCCACCTTGCATGTCGTGGAATTGGGAACACCATTCCTCAAACTTCTTGCATATCAGCGTGAATGCCTTGAAGATCGAGTTCGTCGGCCCGGTGACGGTCACTATTCGCTCCGGGCAGGAACCGTCGGAGATGTTGATTTTCGCGCCAGACTGCGAATCGAAAAAAGAATATTATCGATCATATATATAAAATAAATTACTTTTTGGTTTCGTATATTACAATAGATAATCAATGTCTATTATTTTAAGAGATTAAATTAGTGTAGAGATGAGCAGAAAACAGACTTGAGAGAGATGTGCAAATTTATTTGTCTTTAATATCTGAAAATCCGACTGCTAGAATAATAATTTGCATGCTTTCGTGCAGAGTATTATCTTTTGACATGGCATTATACACGTGACTCTTATTTTTTCTCGTCAAAAGACACATGCACAACAAGAATGTAATTGATACTTGCCTCCTCGCGGAACCTCTTGACGATCTCTCCTTTTTTCCCGATAATGCTACCAACTTCCTGTAATAAAATAAGAAATTATGTTAGTTTTTGGTGTCATTCTCGTACATTGCTTTTTCGTTCTATACTAAATTCGATAAGCTTCATTAATCATGTTTTGAGTAATGCAGAAATTGTTCATGGATTTATTAGATCGAAATCTATTAGATCTGTTAGATAAAAATAAGAAGTATAAGCTTATAAAATGTATAAAATTGTTATATTCGCCATCGTAAACGTGTAAATTGATAAATATAATTACACTTTGGTCATCGATCGATAGTGTGTGAATGATAATCGTAGAAAATATTTTTCCTTATATTAGTAAAGCAAATGTTTAATTCTACTAAATCTGATGGTGTCTTTGTCAACCGATCAGTGCGTACAAGTACATAACTGTGAGACGTATATAAGATGAATGATAAAATTGACACGACAGGTCTATGATTAGCATCGGACACATAAGTAGCTGATGTCCACTCTTAGACTTCGCGTCTGTCCTGACACTGTCTGACCTCAAGATAATGTCACTGTTAGGCCACCGAGAGAACGGCATAGCAGGTATATTCTTGCGCTCTATCTAAACTTAGACGACGCCTCCCGGACGAAATGCCAACGTACTTTGGATGTTGAGTTTCACATATCTCACGTTAAGTTTATCGTTCTCTAGAGTCAATTGGAAGTATCAAAGTTTCATCGCATATGAAAAGACTCATCTTACGTTATCTCGGCGCATTTTATCAAATTCAAGATCGAATCACGCGCTAGAGTAAAATCCCAAACTCGCAAATACATCTCGCGAATGCTCTCGACCTTAATCAGGTTTACAGGTTTACACGTTTACGATAGAGTTCGTTCGAACCGAGCGTGAGTAAATCGATGACGGTAATCGCGAATTCCTATTGACGTGCACGAGGTTACCGCGATCGGGCAAGCGTCATCGTCGACGAATTAGATGAACGCCGAGAGGCAAATATAGCCGGAACAAGAAGACAGCGAGACGAAGGTTTGGCGATGCGCCAGCCACGAGGGTCACCGACGAATCGGCGAGATTGCAAATCCTCGAGAGATCAGATCGCGTCGGGCTACATTATCAATCCAACGGGCAGGACATTGTGGCGGCTCCTCCGCGCGGATGCTGCCACTGAGAGAGAAAAAGAGAGAGAGAGAGAGAGAGAAAAGAGCTATGTATAGCCACGTTCCACCGGTCAATACTTTGAGTGCGCACAGCCTACTTTTATGAGATAAGATTAAAAGAGAGTTTTCCGATATTGCGTCCTACTTCTGTAAATACCGCATTGTCGTAAAAGAGGCGGAAAATAGCGAATAGTATAGTGACAGAGAATTAAAAAATTCATTGTATTCGTTGCATTAAATACATTAAATAATGTTTCGACTCAAGAAGGGCGCCAACGAGACGAAACGTCGTAAATACAAAATAAGCAACAAATAGCGAGCGAAATTATCGATAACGATTTCGTTACATTTCGATACATTTATCACTAACGGACTTTCGGGAGCTTGTATGCAAGTATGGACCGGTTGGACGATGGCCCTGGCTGCGGTCCAGTACATCTCGCTGGAGTCCAGGAATTTGTCCAAAAACTCAAAAGGAAAATACCACGAAGAAACGGTGAAGAACCGCGTCCCTCCGCTCGATTCGAAGATATTAATCGTCATCTCTCGCGACAACTGGATTCAACCGGTGAAGCTGAACGAGGGAGAGACCGATACTACGTGGTTGAGAGACGAAAAGAAAATATTGGGACAAGTTTGGCTACTGGTAGATAAGCTCAAGTCTGGACTCGAGCCAAATACTTACGCCATAGCGGTATCGCTAAATCGGAGAGACACGGCCATGACATTGTTCAAAACGAAACAATAACTGCGAATCTCGCGTAACGATGGAAGCTAATGGAATTGGTACAATGATATTCGTAAAAGTTCTCTCCGCTATCGAGAAATCGGTGCGAAAAAGAAACGATTGTAATTTTCGAATCACACGGCCATTGTAATCTTTCGTTTCAACTCGGCAATAATTTGCAAGGGTTATTAATAAGAATCTATCCACTTCTTCATAAAAATTGACGGTTGGTTTATTTATGTATCAATTTACGAAAACGCATATATCCTCTCTGTATCGCGAGATGGAGTTTACGGAACAAATACCGTTCCATATCGGAGGGATAATGAAATCGTGATAATTCGCGATGCACCGGCAGATTGGCTTTCGGCCCTGGCCGGTGTCCAGTCTGTCCCAGAAGACTACAGTCTAGGTAGCAGACATAATGCCATCCCGGCCAAAAATGCGGCCAGACGTATTTATTTCGCGCGAAAGAGGCTACTCGACTATCCGTTTACCGATTTGCAAAGCTTCCAAAACGAGTGTTGCAATACGCGGCATTGGTGAAATGAGTAAAAAAGCGCTAATAAACGTCATCGCAAAATCATGCGTTTAGAATTATTGTTTGTAAAACAATGACCCGAAGATGCACAATCTTCACTTTACGATCGCTTCTCCACTCGGCGTCTAAGGAGAGATCTATTGCATTGAAATTATTATAGATACATAGATAGATTAAAAATATTTTGAAAAAAGCAATATAATTATAAAACTGGAAATAAAAAATGTACGATAACGTGATATATATAAATAAGCATTAAAGAATCAGATGTGAATCTCTTTAGCGTGTAAAACATAAGCAATATTCTCAAATTCATATATGAAAAAAATTTATCCGCGAAAAATGAGCAGCGTAATCTTTCAATTGGATTACTTATTATTTATGATCCAGCGTTCGTGATAAATGTACGTAATTAGTAAAATCCCGTTCGTGTTCATCGTTGATTTTCAAGTGAGTTGATTTTCATCCCGCTGTAACTAAATACAAACAACTCGAGAAAAAAACGCCGGCGAAAGGATACGTCATGACATCGTTGGCAGCATCTCGTCGAGAAAAACACGGTTTTGTGTGTGTGTGTGTGTGTGTGTAACGAGATTTGTGAGGAAAATATTTTCTCGTATAGTGGAGAACAGGAATTCATTTAGGAATCCATGAGAGACAGATACGATTGAGATGTTTGACAGCGCGTTGGAAAACCCTTGAAAAGAGCGACTCGTGCATCGATAAAGTAAAGAGGGTCGAATCTTATTCGCGTGACCGAGTATCGTTCAAATGTGCCGAAATATGCAATAATTTCTATATCGCACTTTAGCACGAACTCTGTAATATTAATTTTGTTCGCGTTTTACACGGTTTTATTTCTTGTAAAATTCATAAATTTTAAAAAATTCTAATTTCATCTCTCCCTCTCTCACTCTCTCCATTTTATTATATACATATCGTATATAAAAATTTTAATCGCATAAATATAAAATGGCAAAAATCGAAGTGGAGCTGTTAAAGAAACTGCTGTACATTAGAAAAAGCATTAATAGCGAAATGTACAACTTGGCAAGAGCGTACTATCGTCGGGACGAAAAGATCCCGTATGTCGAAAGGGGCATCGGACGTCTAGCTAATGCGATTAATTACCGAGACGGCGGACATTAATTACTCGTGCTACGACGAGCGATATTGCACCTCGTGCACAATAATTAATTACAAGCAGAAACGGTGGTAAGTGACGTGTGCCTAGAACGAGGGTAGAACGAGTACCGACACAGGCTAAATAAACTTTGACACTTGTCCCGTGCAAAAGGCCAGCTCCGGAGCTATTTTTTCGCTAGAAATTCCGCTTCGCGATAATTTTGCATAAATGATGTAACCACTGATATATGTATATAGCATCGAATTACGTTACGAGGGACTTTCACTCTCGGATAGCAATTTTTTCCGCAGGAAAAGAGACTAGGATATTTATTATTTTCCATGTTTATGCATTCGTAGAATTCGTAATTAATCACGAAATATGTATTTATTAATCTGACTATAATCGCGAAATTTTCGAGACAAAAGAAGAGTTATTGTCAGTCTTCAATATTGAAGATTAAGAGGTCGTAGGATAACAAATTGTTACAATTAAATTTGATTCAAGATGTAATATCTCAGACAGAGATAACCACAATGCCCCTTTCTTTCTTGCTAGATAGAGAAAGAGAGAGAGTTAAAACGCATATCGCAAATTACTTTTGCCAATAACCACAAATGCTCTCTCTCTCTACCATTGTAGAATTAAAAGGTTTGTGCAATCGTGCGATGGCCCTTTACGTTCCATTCTTCTACATGATTTTTTTAAATGATTATCCTCTCTTTTAATCCATATATCCACCAATTCGAATTCCGCAGGAGCTCTCCCTCTCTCTTTTACTTCTCTTGAAATATTCTTATAAGAATCAAAAGAATATAAAATTATAAAAAAAAAGATATAAAATTATAAAAAAAGAACAGATCCGCATATAGATTTTTAAATATATTTTAATGACGATGCTTCTTCGCCAAATAATTGATAATTCTCGATCATTTTCAAAGAAATTCATATACGCAATTTTATTAAAGCAAAAATGCTTTTAAATTGCTTTTAAAAAATGGAAGACTTTAATCCAATTCTACATCGCAAATTTGATATAACAAAACTAATTTCGGGCTAATATCCACTTCAATGTAACACAAATTTGATGAGACACTGAATATGTTGATAGTTTAAACACGAAATACTAATAATTGCGATAAATGGGTCAATTTTTTATCAAATTTTTATAAACCTAGACAGAAATTTACTCCGAGATTTAGCCAAATGCATAGTCCGCTGCCAAATTTTCTGCAGCGAAAAAAATTCGCCAGTTATACGACACTGTGTACATCGGAGGCTAGCGTAGGGTTTACGCGAGAAGCAGCAAATTCTTGGCAGCGCATCAAACACTCGTACTCTTCGAGACGCATTGTGTGCCTCGTGCGCAGTCGACGATGCAAATTTCCGATGAGAAAATTTAGAATAATGTTTTTACTCGAAGAACCGACGAGACGTTTTACTCCACGCAAAAGAATCGCGCAACTCGTTATGACGAATGATTTTAAGTTGCCTTGACATTGGCATTATATCACAGGCCATGCCGGTTATTTAATCCTTAAACGCGATTAGTCGCAGTCTTATTTCTACAAAATGACGACCCTGATATACAATAACGCAAAACAGCACGCTAATATATTTATTTCAGAATCATATTTTCGTTTTTCACGTTAAAATTGAAGTTGACATTGTCAACGACTACGTTTACACGTCATCTTTAATCGGGTTCGATAACATCCGTAGTTCTAAAACTGGCCAATCACAGTCATTCCATTCTTCAGAGGAATAGTTGTGATTGATCAGTTTTAAAAAGTTCTTTAACCAGTTACAAATGTTATTAAACCGGATTAGAGGTGACGTGTAAACATAGTCATAGTCGGTGAAATAATCGAGAAAAAGAAAGTTCTAATATTTTGTACGAATATGACGGCTGCGTAAAGTAAATCCAACTTTTCTATTTCAATAAAAGAGTCACGTTGCGTGCCAGAACTCTAAGACAATGTGCCGAAAGCAGTCGACCTCTCGTAAATAATTCAATGGCAATTGTCAAAAAGAGAACGTAGTAAATCATGAAGAGAAGAGAGAAACGCGAATGACCGTGTCTGAGATTTGTTATTACCACGCCAACTGAGCTATTGTGTCTCCTCGTCGAAAGATTGCGACGGATCGAAGTCATCGCATAGTTTAAAGTGACGGTAGATATATATAGATTTTTTATTATCGCGTCGATAGCAGTAATTTCGAAACGTATCGATACGTATCGAATATTTTGTGTCGACACAATTCTAGAATCCTCTCTAAAAAATGGTCGATGCGTGCTTGACATTTCTAAAATGATATGCGTTTCAGGAGAAATCGTATTCAGGACACGATAAACGTATATAAATTTATATTTTCAACAAACGCGCGTGGCCGCCCCCTTTCTCCTCCTCCTCGGAAAAGCGATATCAGTTGATGTTCTGTGGGAGGCTGTTTGATATGACGAGATTTCGAACACACATGCACGTATTTCCGCCCTCGATAATGTATTATCTTATTACTTCTACTTCTCCAATTTCGCAGAGTATCATGCGAGTAATCATTTCAAACGGCAACGGCTGCCGTACATATAAAAAAAAATTGTTAACTTGATTAAATCCGTTCAACTAATTATCATTTTTTAAATTGAAATATTTATATATTTAAATCAAATACAACATATTAAATCTAGCATGACGTATATTTGACTTAAATACTTAGATATTTCAATTTCAAAAATTGTAATTAATCGAATGGATTTAGTCAAGTTAACAATTTTTTTTTTTTTCGGTATATAAATTTACTTATTATTTCAATCATCTGATGATTGCAAAAACTGTCATTTAAAAAACGTTAATTATTTCTCGCACGCAAGATTTAATATATAATTTCTTATAGAAAACTCAAATTTCAAAAAATTTAAATTAATGAAAGGATTTAGTCAAGTTAACAATTTTTTTTTTTTTTCGGTATATAAATTTACTTATTATTTCAATCATCTGATGATTGCAAAAACTGTCATTTAAAAAACGTTAATTATTTCTCGCACGCAAGATTTAATATATAATTTCTTATAGAAAACTCAATCTAAACGTTCTTGGATGAATAGAAAAAATCGTATGAACCGAGTGTAAAAATAAAGTTATAAAATACTCGATGACCGATCCATCGAAAAAGTTTAAACTCGATTAAAGTGTATCCGATATAGACCGTAATTCGACACAACTTACTTTGCCCTGCATAATCAGGCGAATGGTCAGAGTGACCGATGGATCATCGTTCAGCACCGGCTTGTTGTCCATACCGTCCATCGCGTGGTTACGGATCCTGCGGTTTCGATGAGATATCTTCTCGGTACTTGCGGAGGGAAAGGAGGAGGGCGAGGAGGACAGGGGAAAGGTTAGGCGAGTGATTTTGATCGGGGGAGTCTCGGGGGACGTGCTTCTCAAGCGTTCCCAGGTATTCTCGGTCCTTGTACTGAAATCAGAGAGAAACATTCAGATTACGCGCAATCCGTATAAATATCTTTTCTTTTTTTTTTCTCCCTCATCTTTTCATAGAATGTGCTTTCACAATTTTTCGAACGGGAAAGGAAGAAACTTTGGGTAATCTTGTCGGGGAAACCTCGATTAACGTCGTTTGTATTTTGAAAAGATAATAAAAAGGAAAAATAAAGCCGATAAAATATTTGTAAACTTGAACTTTATATGACGCGTGAGTTGTGCCGTCGTCGCGGAATCTATTTATCAGAGCGTTGAATTTAGAAATAAATTGCTCGGAGCAAAATTAGCATGACAATAGCGCGCGGCCAAGCAGCCGACGAGGCGCGGCGATTCCGGGAATGCGATACATCGCTGTATTAAACTTGAGCTAGTCTGTTGGAAAATTATAAGACTATAACGCACGCCTGGATCTATGAATCTATATAAAATTGATCCGCATGTTATATACGCTAGAGCGTCGCACTCGATATCGTTAGATTGCAATCGGCGGCCGAAGATGTCGAGCGTCCTTTCGCTGTTATCGTAAAAGTTTCACCGATGTAATAAAAAAATTATTCAGCTTATGAAGATGAGAAGACAATAAGATTGTTATTTATTTCGAAACCGGTGGAGTCTGTAAATAATATCTCGTTTCACGGTCAATTTTCATCTTGGCGCGATATATTTTCGCACGACGAAGCGAAAATAAAATTTACCTTCCGACACAAAGAAAAGAAGGGCCCGCGATTTTTCGCAGAAATAATGTTTACGAGTTAAAGAAAATATATTTGCGTATATGAAAAGCGAGAGAATTTTTTTCATGAACATTTCGAGACCTCCCACATATATACATTCCACATAGACATCATATTGTAATGTAATAGAATTAGGTGACAAGAAAAGGTGGTAAAAGAATTTTTTCCCTATTTTCTAATCATAGGTGTAATCATGCGGCATATTATCTCTCGCGGTATTATTTTTCTGTCGGCTATAACGTTAATTACAGCCACTGCCGATCGATAGGCTGCTGGAAACCTGGTCCGAAGAGAGGTTCACCCGAGATATTCCGTTCCCTCTCTAAGGGAAGGAGGCCTATAACCGCGCCTCTCCCCTCCTCTTCCACATCCCCCTTCTCTTCAATGAGGGGGACCCCAACGAGCGCGGCACGAGACAGGTTTGCTCTCTCGGATCCGTTAGGAACTGCACAGAACGCGTTTCTTGGTCATGCACATTTTATTTCTCTCACGCACGCGCGGAAAGAGAGAGAGAGAGAGAGAGGAGGGGGGAGGGGGAGCGGGGGGAGAAAATTATTGGCGTCAAAATTTTCCGTTACATATCTCCGACAAAGAAATCAAACGCGTCTGCGATGAAAAGAAAAAATATAAAATTTCCAAAATTGTCAACTTTCAATTTTAAGATTTTCAGATCTTGTCTTAAAAATGACTCGACGTATTATACCTGCGTTTAAAGGACACATTTGTTTGAAATTTTTGACAATATTAGTCAAGATTAGATAGTATTTCTACGATGTAGTACGGTATACTACCGTACGAACGTATAACGTAGATTCTATAGGTCTTGAACTTGGCAAGCATTGATTCCACATGACTCAAATGTTTGCAGAACGACGGACTTGTGTGTATAATATACGGTATAAAGGAAAGACTAACGTCGCGGGGAGACATGACGTGTTTTCTAGACTGGAGTACGTTTATCGTGTTTCGCGAACAGCTTTGTGCAAAAGTTTACACGGTCACTTTGCCCGCAAAGCGCAACTTTTTAAGCGAATTTTACCGCTTTAAGCTTCGCGATTGTCGTACATTAGTTTTACATCCGCAACAAGATTTCCAGCATTTTATTTTACTTAATTATCTCCCTCCTCCCTCTAGGACTACAATCCTGTGTATCCTCCAATTTATTGCAAAGGAAGCTCTTTTAATTTCTTTATCTATATATATATATCAGTATCTCTTTATCTATATTTTGATTATATCAGTTTTGTAAATTTATAATTATCGCTGGATTTTCTTGACGCAAACATTAATGACATATATTTGTCGTTTAAATATATGTAATAGAAAGGTAGTAAAAATTAGAAAGGATAAAAGGAGCAATTAACGGATGTCAGTAACATAAAAACAGATGAAAAAAAAAAAAAAAAAAAAATAACGCGCGAGCAGAGTGAAACGCTATCCAGAACGTCCGTGTGTTTATCGGCGTTCCGATCCAAAATTGCAATCGTAAATTAACTAGCGATCTCATCGGTAGGCTTTTACGAGATGCGTTCATCGATTTGTTATAATCGATGAATGAGCATTATCGCCGTTTGCGAAAAGGTCAGAGGTCAAAAGCGCCGCATCGTGTGTCCATTGAAATTAGAAGGGCATAAAAAATACGCGGGTACTTGTACACACGTACAAATGTCACACGTGCATCTGACGTATATGCGTGGAATTCGCGCGAACGTTGTATAAATTTTTACGCTACTTTAAAAACGGATAGCAAAAATGACATTGCATTATTCATGAAAAAAAAAAAAAAAAAGAATCACGCGCGAGACACATTTAATAAATTAAAGAACTAAGGCACTAGATATAAATTAACAAAATCTAAATTATAAAATTTAGTTCTTTAATTTTATTAAATGTGTCTCGCGTGGTTTTCGTTTTTCTTAAAATCTGATTATATGTTACTAACATCGTTCGTTAATCGCTCCTTTCGCCCTTTCTAATTTTCATTTGTCGTTTAATTTATACGAGAAAATATATGCGTATCGATTTACACACTCAACTATATCGCAATTAAATGCGTTGCGAGCGGGCGCGCTGTGGGAAACGTTGTATCGCGCGCGTCAATGTGAGAGCATTTAGGAGAGAAACGGAGTATGTATATTATAGCCTCTCGCTATCTCTCGAATCGGCCACGCGGACTACCGTCGTTTCGCTCTGCTGCAATTCTCCGCGATGCAATTGGACTGTGGAATTTAGTGCAATCTGCGTTCCGTTATGCGTGCGTTTAACATAAGTGGACGTTTAACAACGCGCGAGCACTTCTCGATTATTTGTTTCAAACTTCTCCGCGACTCGAGGCGAGATATAAAGTGCCCAGGTCAACGCACGCACAATTGCCGAAGCCGACGGTCGAAGCGATGTACGAAGCGAATTCGCATCTTTAATATCTCTCTCCCTCTAAAATCGTTCACACTTGCCAACACTAATATACGAGATTTCAATCGACGGACGTGAAATTTTCCCGACCGAACGATACGATTCCGAAAAGACGAGCGATTTAAATTCGAATTAAATTCAATATCAATTAAACGGATGCATTCGGTCAAATTCCGCGATATCAACGTTTTTCCTTTTATTCAATCTTCCTCTCTGAATATTCTGAACTAATATACCGCTTTATTTCGTCGAAATAAAATTAATATCTGGTCTGGAATAAAATCAAGTAAACTCTCAATTTATATTACACGAGGCCGATTGTAAACGGACGATTAAACCTGCGAAGAGAGATCAAGACGACGAAATTAAAGTCCATGAAAATAATTCACCGAGAATCTACCGTATTGTCGATCGACGTGACGCGAAATTCGAAGGATTTTCATTAAAACTTTCCTCGCGACATTTTCATGAAAATGAATCGCGTTATCAAATACCGTGGGCCTTCCCTTTATACAAGATTCAACAGCCGAAACACAAACGATTATATATAATAAAATTCGAATCTTCGATCGTCCGATTGTCAGCGTAAACAGATATAAACGCGATTAATTTTCTTCAAATGCGCAGATGGAATTTTCACACGAAATAGCTCCAATATCGTATATCTGAAAATATAATAAAAAAAAAAAAAAGCTTTTTCTCGTGAGAAAATGAAACATTTCTGCCAAATAGACAACGTAAACAAACAAAAGAGATATTTCTCGCAATATATTCCCTTCGCTCCTAATATTTTTCAAAGACGTACACGTCGCGCGTTTGAAACCCGAAGCATCACATTTTCTGTTCTCCCCGAACACGTGCGTCATCGTAATTTACGTAATTTAGACATATACGCGTGTCTCACACTTAAAGAATATTCGATCCACCAAGACGGGAGATCACGTAAAAGATCCGCAAGAGCGATAATAAACTCTTTATCCAAAGTTAATTCCACGATCGTAAAGAATGTCGGTGAGACATCGCCGATTTTCGATACGTCCGCGACGGTGTCATCGCACTCGCAAAGCGGGATTCGGAGATATTTCGACGAGAAACGCGCGCGCAACGTCTTTCGCGATTTTTTTTTTTTTTTTTTTTTTTTTTTTTTCCCCGAACGTACCGGGTAACGGGCGAGAAAACGGCATTGTTCGCCGACGCCGAGGAACATGCGGCGCGTATCGAGCGCGCGCGGAAGGAGGCACACACGCAGCAGATGCATGCGAGTCCGTCGTTGGTCGTCTCGCGCGCGCGACCAGAAGCGCCGGTACAGTCGCGGTAGAAAAGAAACGGCGATCTTTTCTTCTCTCTTTCTCTTCTCGATAACGCCTGCCTTATCGGAGGCTGTTTGCGACACAAGGCTCGCTGGAACTCTCCCTCTCTCTCTCTCTCTAAGGGAAGAACCACGATGCGTTTCGGAATTAATTTAACGAGGAGAATCACACAAGAAACGAGATATTTAATCGCAGGTGGACTAATAATTTTTGAATCGGATCATCGACATGTAACCCAGCTCGGATACCGGTTACGTGAAGGTTAGCTGAAATTATCGTTTCGGCGGATGCTGGTTAAAGCTAGGTAACTGCGTTTCCCCCGCAGAGCCGATAGAGAATAAACGGCGGTCGGCGATGAAAATCCAAAAATCCGGGATTGCGAGTCGCAAGTAGATTTTCTCCATCGATCGTTCGTTCGATCTGGCGGCGCCCGCTCGGTCGCCTCTCGTATCGACTCGCTCCCGAGAGTTAGGAGCGCCCTAAAACCACGATTATCACGAGAACCATGTCGCTATCGGACACGTACGGGAGCACGAGACGGAGCTACTTCGCGTCGATACTCACTGGCACGAATCGATGTAACGAGAGAAGAACGTTCACTGTTCGAGCGCGTGGAGCCGGTGAAGCGTCGCTTTAATCCGCGACGACGCCATGCGAGAATAAAAGATAGAAAAATGGAGGAGCGCACATTTATTTTTTTTTTTTTTCTTTGGAATTTCTCTCAAACGCGACGAGTAGCTCGCATGATCCGTTTTTCTCATATTTTTTTTCTTTCCCTTTTTTTTTTTTTTTTTTTTTTTTTTTTTTTTATTTTTTTTTTTTTTAAAGGCACACGCGGACCGCTCCGCGCTAACCGCTCGCCAAGTTCCCGAATTCAATTTGGCGGAAGGAAACGCGTTCGGCGCGGCTGATATACGGGCGTCGGGAACACGCCGACCGGTGTATCCGCGACGTAACGATGGCGCGCGGAATTCCGGGTCCTCGCGTTCATCTTCGTCGCGTTGCTCTTCGATCGTCGCGACGACGACGGGGTGCGGTCGCGTAGACGGGAAATTATTTCGCGTGTGTGTATATATATATATGTATGTATGTATGTACATGTAAAACGATTTACCTAAATGCACACTACTCAGTTCATCAGGGGGGAGGTACAGGCGGCCTCATCGATGCACACTGCACTCGACACGCAGGGGTTGAGGGCGGGAGAGGGGTGGCGAGAAGAGAAGGAAGTAAAACACTACACTACGCGACACTTTGCGAAACTGCACCACCTCGGCGGAACGCGATCCTCGTTCTCTCTGCCACGGCCGTGAGACCGCCAACTCCGCTTCCGACGATGCGCGGCGCTACGTGCGTCGCTTTCCGACGACGTCGCCCGCAAGTGGCGCCTCCTGTGTTCCCCGCCTGCGCGCGCAACTCGCCCCGAACCGCGTGTCCGTGGCGGGACGTACGAATTTGTGCGCGTGATTACGTAAGGTTCCAATCCGGCGAGCGAAAATATTCCGACGAATATTATTAATGATATTGTATGGCGATATTATATACTCGTTCCCCTTTCTCTGTCTTCAATTCTTAAATTGTTCCAAGTTATTATTCAAGTAGATTAATCTGAAATTTAATCGACAAAAATTTTAAGGAGACATATGAGAAGAAAATAAAAAATTGAATGTAGAAATGAAAATAAAAGTAGAAAAGAAAGAGATTTATATCCTTCCTCTCTTTAATTTTTAAATTTTTCCAAATTATTATTCAAATAAATTGATCTAAAATTTAATCGATACAAGAATTTTAAGACGTACGTGGAGAAAATAAAAAACAGAATTTGGAAATGAAAATAAAGAAAGAAAAGAGATTCATTTTCTACAATATGAGACTATTATAGTTCTCTCATTCCAAGTCACGAAATCAAAATTATTATTAAGATTTAATAGCAATTTAGTAAAGTTCAAATTTGAAAAACGAAAGTTCCGACAACGTATCAAAATATTACATATGTATGTCCTTTTCTCTTCAATTCAAAAATTATTCAAATAGTTTAATCTGTAATTTAGTCGAATTTTAAAGAGATGTGCGCGAATATTTATATATGCAAAATAAAAAAAAGACTTTAGAAATGGAAAATTAAAGAGAAAAAAGACGGAGAAAAAGAGATTTATCTTTTACGATATGAGACTATTATATTATCTCTATTATAATCTTTTCAATCAGTTTAATTTATGAGATTAAAATATTAATAAGATTTAATAGCAATGGATATTAATTGTCTTTATAAAATCGTCTTCTTTAACATAAGATATAATATTACTTTAGATCATAAATTATACAAACAACTTAATTATAGACGACTTGTACTTAAGCAATTCTTAAAAGCAAAGCGTTTAAAAAATAAACATTTTTGAACAAAAAAATTTATTTCATATTTCAATTTTTTAGTAATTTCTTTAGAAAGATTTCTCAAATAACTTAATTTTTAACTTATCCGAACATATGTTTCTTAACGTTTTAATAAAAATATACATGAATTAAAACTCTATCTCGAAATTAATATCCCCCTTTTTTATATACCCAAAGAGATAAGGTTTTGATTATTAGAGAATTATTTTAAAAGTTTTTGCAAAAAAAAATATTAAAATTACTAAAATCTTATTATGTATAATTTTTACACATATATAAATGTCTTGACAAGACCTTTTTACAAATATTCCTACGAAATGTTTTATATTTAGCAATATCTCATGACGTAATTTGCATTTATAACTAAGAGATCTTTAAAATAATAGAAGCAATTATATATTGTTATATTATTCAAAAGATTATCCCACTAATATTTTCATGTAACTATCCAATTTTCGTTTTGTTTAATCTGCTTATTGTATTTGTGGCTCATGTTTCGCGCAGCGAATCTAACAGTGGATTATTTCGAGTGTTTCAAACAATTCGACAAAATGCATTATACGCTACTAATTGCTTCGTATGTTAACGCCACGTTATTCATGCATGAATCTAACTGACGTTCAACGAAAACTCGATTACCACGTTTTCCCCAACTCGTTCTCTCTCTTTTTCTCTCTCTCTCTCTCTCTCTCTCTGTCTCTGGTAATAAAACTTTCCTACGGACTTGAAGGACGGTAAGTTAAATAGATCGTTCGTCGAAGGCGTAAAAGTGAACGTTATCGAAACTTAATAATGAAAGTAAATCAAAGAACGACATCATCCGACACCACGCGAGTAATCGACAAACGAATGAATTGAATTTTTTATTGACAAACCGCGCGAAGCATATTCCATGTCTATAGAAGATATACAGAAATGTATAAATGCCTAATATTGAAATTTTTTTTCTTGGAATGTCTCTCTCACATGCAAATTGAAGAATAACATCACTCAATACAAAAAGAATAATATAATAAATCAATTGTTTTGTTTAGAGTAGAGCGGGAGAGGGAGAGCAAAATAATAATTTTGTGCAAAAAAAGATTTTCGCTTTAGATAAGAACACTATTTTTCTTTTATCTTAAGCCAATTATTTACGCTCTTGTGCTTTTCTCTTCTCGTTCTCTGCGAGTAAAATATTTTTGTTTCAAGTAAAATTTGCCTGTGAACAAAAAAATAGTTTAATATATTTTTTTCGTTATTTCTGGTTTAAAGAATTTATATTATACATGCTTAAAAGAAATCGCAACAAGTGCGCGATTTTTCAAATGCATCTCAAACGCATCTCCATAAATATGTCGGCTCAACAATCGGAGAAGATAGTATCCGCTTCTATTATGAATCTAATTCTGAAATTTGCATTGCTTATTCAAACAAAAATAACTTTTTTTTTTCTTTTATATTTTTAACTAGATACACAAGAGAGCACTTCTCTTACTGCGATGCTTTTAGAAGGTCGTTTCTCCACCGCAGCGGTATGCCGCAGGTACGCAGCCGGAAATTTAATTATCATTTTAAACGCGCGGAAAGCAATTATCGGAAATTTAGTTCGCGATGGCCAATAGAACGGCCTTGCTAGAGAATGACAGTAACCGCTATTATTTTGACATTGAATGAGCAAGTTATGAACGAGGGAGCTTATTGAGAACTCCTTCTCCGTGATTATTTCGGTAAGTACGCACGTTTTTCTTTCAACATGATCCTCGAATCAAAGAATTGTCGATAAGTTTTCATCGAATAATATTTTATGGCCTTTGACATTAAGTATCTGTAATATATGATTAATACTCAAATTATAACCAAATTAGACTTAATAATTATACGTAATAATCGAAAGACAAATACTGATAAAATCTATTCGAAATTAAATAAAAGATATAATTATATTATATTACATATCTGCACTTTTTAATCAGTTCGCCAAATAATATACAAAATAATGTAAAAATGTAAGTAGACTTTTTCTCGATTAATTGTCAGCAAAGTAGGTTTTTTTATCACAATCTCTTTGTTGTAAATTATTGATAAATTCATCAATCGTTTTTTTATAGATAGATAGATGGTTTTTTTTCTTTTAAAAATGTATTTTTTTATGTAAAACGTCAAATCGTGTTTCTTTACATTTGACTGTCTCTGAATGTATATTTATATTGAAATATATCTCAATATTGTTACGTGAAATATTCACTTTATCGACAAATTTTGAACAAATAAGAGCACAAATATTTCTATATTTTTCCTCGATTCTGTACAAAAACATATAGCATAAAAAAGCAGACGCAATATCTGTTTATACTCAATACGAATGATCAATATTGTGCAATACATGTGGAATACTAAGCGTACAGTTTAATCGAGAATATTTTTTGCGCAGATATTAATATAGATATAAATCAATACACGTGCTTTATAACGAATGGAAAAACGAAAGAATATTTAGCAACTCGGAAGATTGTTATTGCTAACAATCTGAGCCAATTACAGCGTGATCTCGAATTCTTCGAATGTGCTGATTCGCACAGGGAAAAAAAAACACAAAAAGTTAGTCGATTGGAACAAGCCAGACCATTAACATTGTTTGGCGAAGGAGAAGAGAGAATTATCGAAATAATAATTGTAAGTTGACTGATTGTTGAGTGCGCGATTTCTTCTCGCTTACGGACTAGAACCGGAAACATGGCGATGCATTAACGAACTTCTTCCATCGCGTAAAACTCGCTCTGCAAACGTTTATCGGCATTATCGGTAGAATGGGGGCTGTGTAAGCGCGCGATGATGAATAATTTATTTTATTACCAGCGAGCGACACAAAGCAATGCTCGTAAATGTAAGTGCTTCATAAAAGCGGAGGAGGGACTTGACTTGCGTAAGTAGCGTCGCGATACAGGCAAGATTGTCGTCGTGAAAACCGAATCGTCGGACTGTTCTGTATCATTTCTTTATCCCAAATTGATCTTTGTTCTCACGTCGACTCAAAAGATCTGGCTAAATCGAGATATCGCAATCTTAAAGAAAAATATAAAACGGCTCTCTAACGTCGAGCTTGAAATTATTCTTTATAATGTTTGAGGTCTCGTATTGGATCGCGAAATCAGATTTGCCTCTTATTTTTGCTTAATAAAAAAAAAAACATGATTTAATTAAAATAATTTTTTTTATATTCTACAATATATGCAATCATTTATTTATTGTTCTTTCTTCTTCTCGACTCCATTCTTTATGCAATTAAATTCCTTGACCAATTAAGGAATGAGATAGGGGTGACTTGAAGAATCCCGCGTGTCGGGAAAAGTTGTCATGGACGAGATCAAATGCCTAATAGTTTCCCACGATCGTGCGAGAGTGAAAGTATCGGGCGACGTTATTGGATTTCGGATTTCATTCAAAGATTCTATCGTTATAGAGATGCTTAAAGCGCCTGTAATGCTTAGTCTCGCGGCGAATTTACTTAAAATTTAAACTAAGTAAGTTCGAATCCGGACTCGGGCGCAAAACCGCACGGCCATCTACGTTGAAAGAAGACTGATCCCATTCTGATTTAAACTCGAGTTCAAGTTTGACGCCGGCATCCAGAGCGAAATTATTATCTTACGATCTT